GAAATCAAGTTATAAGTATGAAACAGGGAGAAAAACCTCTTGCTGTGTATTTCTCCATGCTGAAAACCCTATGGCAGGAAATAGATCACTTAGAAACTGTGGTATGGGAAAGTGTAAATKATGYAGCARCTTATMACAAACTGGTAGAGAGGAATAGGGTTTTTGAGTTCTTGGCAGGGCTGAACCCTGAATTTAACATTGCTAGGCAGCATATTCTTTCTAGTGAGGGTGTGACACTCTCTCTCAGGCCTATGCTTTTGTCTTTGGAGAGGAGAGTAAGAGGAATGTAATGCTGAGACAGCCTGGGATTGACCAGTCGGCTATGGTTGGTACAACAAAACCTAAGCCGAATGGAGATAAGGGGAGTAGTGAGACTAGAAGGGAAGATAAGAAGGACTTGGCGTGTGATTACTGCAAGAAGCCTAAGCATACTAGGGACACTTGTTGGAAGCTTCATCCAAATCTTATGCCTGCTCGGATAAGAAACAAGAAGGGAAATGCAAATGTAGCCACTACAAGAGACTCTCCAGCCCCTCTCTCCCATACTGATTGAGAATCCATTGCAGTAGCAGCAGTGAGAACAGAATTGGAGAGATTTGGACAGCTTATGAGTAAGAAAGATTCACCCAGCCTTAGCCTTCCAGATAGATAGCAGAATGCAGAAGCCAACTACACCACTTCCTTTGCACATACAGGTAGTCCATATGCAACTGCGAATCTTGCATCCACTTCAGGTAAGGAGGGACCTCCYTGGATTATAGAYTYRGGAGCATCTGAGCATATGACTAATGCCCCTACCATTTTCAGTTCCTATCAGTTGTGCTCTGGTAGAGACAGTTAGAGTGACCAATGATATAACTTTGTCCTCTGTTTTCCATGTCCCTAGACTTCATACCAACCTACTGTCTATTAGTTCTTTCACAAAAAATTTGAATTGTTCTATGACCTTTCTTCCTGGTAATTGTGTTTTGCAGGATCTGGAGTCAAAGAAGATGATTGGGAGTGGTCGTGAGGTGAATGGAGTCTACCTTCTG